TTTGACTAGCAGCCAGCTCTCACCACAATAGTACTTTGAGATTCATTGATATTTCTGACACTGTTCTTCAACCTACTCCTAACTCTAGACCTTAATCTTAAAAGCCATGACCCTAATTAACAGTATAGATTTGCAGAAAAAGTACCTAGTGAATAAGTACAATACTGTATCTGTCCTCTCCAAGTTCAAAAAGGCAGGCACGACTTGATTTGGAGTGATAATTCATAGTATTCCCTATGTTTGATCTTTTGAAAACCCTTGACTTTGGCTATTATACTTTAACTTCGCCTTGATTTCATTTACTTGTGTAAATTGATAGTTGAGTCATTTTATTCGCACTTACAAGAACCCTATTCAAACATAAAGGAAATTTAGTGCTTAATTCAAGTTTATCGTGAAATAGAAACAGAAATGATCTGTTATAAGGAATTACAAGTAATTAACTATTAGTCAAACAAGATGAATGATTGATAACAAAGTAGAGGTCGACTACTTTCCGGGTAAGAATAGTTGAGTTCCGTGAGAAAATTTGATGTTTCAAATTTGTTTTCACTACATTTAGACAGTAACTAATAATGCGTACTGAATTTGATTGGCATGCTTGCAATCAATATATAAGTTGTACAATGCATTCACATTTGATACTCATCACTTCTTGATGTGTATAATTTTCAGCTACATCTGGATGTTATTTGATCTGAAAAACTATGTTAAGCATTTGTCTCACTGATGTATAAATGCATGAACGACTAGAAGTGTTGTGTAACTTCTTATTGAATGGTAAGAACAACCTTGTACTTCTATAGATCTAATTTAATTAGGATGAGAATAAAGAAGAAAAAGTGAAATCATTTGCATTTCATGTATGTGTGTACACGGATGAAGTTTACTAGGACAGTAAAAACAGTGTACACAGAGAGAGAGAGAGGTATTGTACATGGGGTCAATCATACGGAAGAATACCTAAACATTAGATTTTCTACTACACACTTATCACATGGTTAAAACAAAAAAGATTACAATTTCTTTATAAACAAAACTTAGTTGGTGACAATAGAACATTTTGAAAAATTAGGGGTGTTCTTTATTACAACACGTTTAATTAAATGCAGTAAACAACAAACAGCAGTCATTTTCTATAAAAAAATACTCAAACAGTAGAAGACTTGTTAAACGAATGCTTTTTAGGAATTCGGTATCATCTCATATAGCTAAATTATGTACAGCTTATCTACAAATCACCATTTGCACAGATCTTCCGTCCTTCATATTGTGTATGTTAGTACCGTTTTCACGTCCCCTATATATTTCCACAACAGTGAATCATTTGCTTTCACCCATGTCAAATTTATCTCCCTGCTATTCGATGTTTTTATGTTGGTGAACGTCTCTTTATATACTACTGATAAATCTCATCAGTAGCACTCGTCCCCCAACAAAAGGTTTCGAGGGGAGACATTTCTATCCACACTCCTGTTGTGCAGTGGTCCCGGCTTCCTTATCCCAATGTATCCATTTCTGCAGTCGGCTGACGTTAATCTGTTTCTGCTTATTTCCTCTTTTGATGGTATAAACGGAACCGCGTCTCTCAGTGATAGTGTATGGCCCTTCTCACTTTGGGAGCAGTTTCCGCGAACCTGGTCCATATCTGCCCGGGTCCTTTCTTTCTCTACAGTCTATTTGATCACCGACTTCAACACTGAACAGCAGCGTTACTTCACGATCGACGATGAAAACGCTACAATTTGACATGCTTGTGATGCTTAACGCGTGTCCACCCACAGTTTGAACTGTCAATAAACACGGTCTGACATAGATTTCTACCGATTAGTGAAACTGCTGCCCCTGTATCTACCAGACATACTACTTTTCGGCCGTTCACTAGCAACTTAGTATACATTGTCCCCCTCTCGATAGCCCCCACTACTTCTAGTCTGACGGAAGAGAACACATTATACTGTTTGAATTTTTTCTTCTTTCTAGGCTTTGCCTACTCCAGTGTCCTGCTTTACCACATTCCAAGCATTGGTCTTTCCTGACACTCATCCGTAGAGCCGCTGCTTCATGGTGTAAATCTTCCACTTTCTGTTCCCATTCGTTCAATTTCGGTGGCTCTATCGCTGCTACCGTTGTGCTCAGCAGCTGCATGGTCACCTTCGCCATGGCTTGGGCAACGTTAAACGTTGTAGTTGCTGAGAAACGTGATCTGGCCTCGATGAACTGGGACGTTAATAACTGCAACTCTGACTCTTCAAAGAATGTGGGGAGTGCGCAACGAAGTAGATTCGTCAGTTTCACCGCCAACTCTACCGGGTGTCCGGCCAGTCCCAGCTTCACGGCATGGTACTGCTGCATCGCCAGATGCCTGTCCGTCGAACTCTACCACCTTCCTTGTCTCCTCACCACCTGACGACTCCACACTGTCGTATACTGCCTTTAATCGACCTCTCAGCAGCGTACCCAGCACAACCGTCTACGCAATCGGATCCTTGACGCCCATCAGCAGTGCAACAGCCACGAAGTCCCGCAAGAAGCTCCTGATGTTTTCTTGCTCGAAAGCATCCGGCCATGGGATAAGAGGCAGTGACACCAATTGAAACAGTAGAAGACATGAGACTCGATAAAGGAATGTTTAATGGGAATTTGGTAAAGCCACTTAGCTAAGTTACGAGCACCTTATCGTCAAATCACAATTTGCACAGATCTTCCGTCCTTCATATTGTGTTCCTTTCACATCTTCCCATGCTTCTGCGCTACATAATAGAGAATGAATCATTTGTTTTCCCTGACATCAAATGTGGGTGGATGAGATATTTTTTTTATGGATCTTTAGAACTAAATGCTCATTTGTGACACATAAACTTCATTGTATGTAGCTGAAAAACTAACAAACAATTTAGCCACTGTGGCTATCATCTATGTACAAAGGCAATTGTGGAAGACGTTGCTTGATAGTGACTCAAATGACTGGGGCTAATCAAACAGATCTCAAGAGAAAGAGGTTGAAAATTTCTAAACACTAATCTCTCCGGGTGATAGTGTACTGTTTAACTGTGTTGCATGTAGTATAGAGGACGAACAAAAGGTTTTATTTTATTTTGGCCGCCTCAACGTCATCACCACCTAAAAACAAGTGTCATCATTATATGCTGCATAATACACCTCAGGAGAGAACTATGATAACGTGCATATATTCCAACTGTAGTAGAAGCACTCCGGATCCAGACAGTCACCCAGCTGATGAAAGTCAGCTGTAGTGGCCAGGAAAACACAATACGTGTCTTTGGGATTTAGACTATGGTTTCAAAAGGTGAAGATTCACTTGTCAAAAGCCATCACCGAAATATAAGGAAGGAGATTAGACCAATCTGTTTATAACATAAAACCAGGAATGCATTTCCGAATATAAGCACCTGTATATGTCATATGGTTCAACACCATGTCATATGCCACTGTTTATTTAATTTACGCTATAGTTTAATCACACAAAAATTTAATGGACATATAAATCTCGAGAAATATACACGTATGGTGTAAATAAAAGACTAAATCAATCAGGTGACCCCAGGAACACCTGAAATAGGCAGCCATCTTTTCAATAGAGTAAAATATAAAATCCATTTAACGCCATATACATGTTTATAAGTGGACATAAAACAAGTAGTCCTACAGGAAAATTAACGTTTTATTAATCATGCTTGATTATTTTTTTTGTGGGGGGGGTCTTCGGACTACAGTAAAATACTAGACGTAGAAAATTGGCATTCACAACTGCCTTGATGTGAAAATAGCTAGTAATTCGCCTCAACCAACTTAACATGCAAACACTAGTAGTGCTTCTAAGAAGTAGTTACTTCAACCTAAAAAAACATAATTTGTTAGTCATGTTACACCTTTCAAACAAGAAATCTCTCAACACTACTCATGAAGACTTTATAGCTGCCATTTGATATTATATCTTTCTAACTAAACATGATTTGATTCAAAAGAATGGATACTGAACAAAGAGTACTCTTTTCAATAAATTCATCATCAGGCTCCACATTTATACATACATTATAGTGAATGAATGAATTAGTGATATACCAAGCGAGATAATTGCGAAATTAAGAAAATCAGTTCAAAGAACTTTTATGACTGGCGAACTACACATACTATTCTCTACACGACCGATGGTGATTCCTCGACTGAAGTACCTAGACTAGCCACTTCAAATTGTATCTATCAATTCAACTGCGCTTGTGCAGCCAGTTATATTGGCCGTTGCTCTAGGAACTTGATTTTTCGTGCTCGAGAACATCTCCCAGCATGGCTAAGTAAAGGTGTAGTGAAAACTATTAACAGCTCGATATTGAAACATCTGGTGCAAACAGGCCACAAAGCCAGAGTAGATGAATCCTTCTCTATATTATACCGGGTGCCAAATAAATTACCAAAAACATCGAAGCACCACAGACTCGAAACAGCAGAGGCTATTGCGATTCGCCTCAAACAACCAGCGCTCTGTATCCAAAAGAAGCAAGTCCAGCCCCTACTATTGCCCTGGCCTTCAGTAGAAACTATAAACTCATGAATTTGTAATATTATCCTTCCTAATTCTTGTGACATTCAGCTTATGTTGGTGCTTTTGAGCTGTAATCTATCAATATTATTGATTTGATGTTATTTAAATAACATTAATGTTGTTCATAACTAACTCATCCATTCACTATAATGTATGTATCAATGTAGAGCCTGATGATGAATTTATCGAAAAGAGTACTCTTTGTTCAATATCCATTCTTTTGAAAATTTTGATGGGCATTTTTAATCAGTTAAAATGATTTGATTCACCAAATAATGTCCATAGAATACAACTGCTAGGCTTATACATATACTGTAAAGACACTTAATACGATAAGAAGTTCCAAAAAGCCTGATTTCTTATTTATAAGACTAAGATGATTTATAATATCTTTATAATTGTATTAAAATGGTGCACAAAATCATACAATAAAAGGTCAGCTGTGTACACCTGTAGCACTGCCACCAGTATTGTTACTACTGGTGATATGTTTGGGTTTCACTTCATTCTCGGCCACAGTTCTTATGTAGATAGTCGGTTCTGGTTCATTCTCAATTGGGCCTCGTTCGTACATATAGGAAGATGCAATAGCCAGTAGATTACCATCTTCAGAGAATGCTAAACTTGATATACTAGTTGGATATTTAGACATTTGTGCAAGACGTTTACGATTGAAACCGTCCCATATATTCACCATACCATCACAACCGCCTAATACCAATAAAAAAAGAAAACATGTGTAATACATACGCGCACACATAGTTAGTTACACAAAAAGACAATGTTTAACAATAATATCATACAGTTGAGGAAGATTTTAATTCCCTCACATAGTTGACAGATTTGGGTAAATTTACAATCAATACTTTCTTGTTACCTCCTTCACAGAAAATCGAACAGAATTATCGATTACAAATAATGAGGTGGGGTGGGTGGGGGAAGGAGTGCTATCTTATATGAATAGAAGTACATGGAAAAGAGACAATAAACGTGATTTCTGCATATTTAACGAAAAAAAAGTCAAACTGTAATTTGAATCATAAACAAATATTTGAATACCTGAAACACTAGAATTGCCAATAAACGCAATAGGTGAGTGGAAGGCAAATAAAACTACTTAACATAAAACAAAGACAGGAGGTACAAACAAACAGGACAAAAAAAGATTATTTAATCAAAAAAATACAGAAAACTAACAGTTGCATACTATCGAATTTCAAAATCTGAAGATCGTAAATATAACTATTTATATGTCGACTAGCAAGGATATATCTTAGCCTAAATAACCGCAAATATTTTGAATAAATACCTTTTTTAAAAACTACATTGTGCATTGAGTATGTACATCACACTTACTGGATAACTCAAATTATAAAAACTAACAGCCTTATCAATTGATTTCCTCCTTTTATTGGTGGCCTGCTCAAAACTTTGGCTACCAAAAACTCCCACCTCTCTCTCTTGCATATATTTTCTCTCGTTTTTTTCCATCACGTTCCCCAGTGGAACATAGGGCCTCAAGCTAGAAGCTTGAAGTTTCTGTAGTAGTGTTTATGTTTACAGAATGGGGTTGCTAGCCTCATGCCCAACCTTTACTCTTTACCAGGATTATTTCTGGCTTAGCCAGGTAAAGGAGTGAGTCGGCCGGGGATTGAACTCCGGACCATGTGCATGGTCGGCTAGCGTCCTAACCGCTATGCCACCGAAGCACTTTCTCTCGTTTAGTTTGTTTTAGTCGATTGGGATATGACCTCTGATGGTATTATTATCTACTTTTGTGTGTATTTAAAATGTTTACAAGCTCCTGATTCGCAAATTTCTACTAAACTTGAGGAATGGCGTGATTGTGGGTAGCAACGTATCCCAATACATAAAATAATTGTTCTTCACTTTACGTTCTTGGTTCGCGAAATGTACTTCTGAACATCTTACAATCGGCTTTCAACTAGATATCGCGGATTCCTTGAAGGACACAAAGTAGATTTTTATGCTCGCCTAGTCTGACTGCACCTGTTCTATTAGTTTGACCTATTTATTTGACCTGACAATCATTCCATTAGGGTATTAGATAAACTGAATTTTGTTTTAAAGGCTCCACAGGATCCTTTGACCGACAAAGCTTCTTTTTTAATAATGATAATAATAGTGATGACAATAATAATAATATTAATGACGATACCAACAATAAGGAATCCAAATCATCAGTAGTAATTCCATACAAGGAAGGAACCTCGGAAGCCTTACGAAGAATTCTTAACAAGGCAGGAATAAAAGTGACTTGCATTCAAACCCACAAACTCAATTAGAAACAAGCTTTGTCGGTTAGAGTATCAATCCTGTGGAGCCTTTAAAAAAAACAATTTAGTTTATTTAATACCTTGTGTGAGATGATTGTCAGGACAAATACATAGGTCAAACTAGTAGAACAGGGGCAGTCAGACTAGCTGAACATAAAAACTTTGCAAAATCTAGATTGGTTGACCCAAATAAGATAAGAAATCTAGAGAGTAGTTCAGCTATAGCACTACATGCAGTTACGCACAGCCATACAATAGGATGGGATAGGATGACAGTTTTAAAATCTAATGTCACAGGGTGGAGGGAGAGATTGATAACAGAAGCTTTATTTGTCAAATCAACTGCAAATACATGTAATAGGAATGATTCAACACCTGTCCCAGATATCTGAAAAATTCTACCACCCCTACGACAAATAGGAGAAAACAAAGAAAACTATAAAACTCAAATTTAAAAGTTGTGTGATTGCAATTGATATGATTATGAACAATAAATTTTGTTAGAAACTGTCATCCAGTAAATAATACTGTTTCACTGTGTGATACATCTAATAAACAAACTAATATTGAATTACTTACTACCACAGTGCCCAAGTTTTACACATATATTAAAAAGCCTGAAAGTTACTAGAAATTTCCATCCGGAACAGTCTTATTTTTTATGGCTAAACAGTAATGTAGGTTACACATTATTACATGTTCAACTCTGTTACTGTTGTTATACGTGCTGGCGACATTGCAACTTCAAATTTCTGTTGAAAATTAAGTGTTCATAAAAGCTTATTTGACTTTAATGTATGTACACAACAGTAATCGACTTGAACAACAGTTCCAATCTTTATTACCTAACAACACATAGTTAATAACGAGTCTTACAGCTATGATTTACATTTGAAACAGAACATGAGCTAAAACACTGCTTAATTTACACTCAAACACTAAAGAAGACTTAACACGAAGATAGTTTTCTCTCCTCTAGCAGAGCTGAGTTATCCAAGTGTACATGAACCTATTGATTCTTTTTACTAACCAAACATGATGAAAGATTCCGTTTTCTATAAAAGGAACACCGATCAATGACTGAAATTCGTCAAATTCTAGCATTTTCAACTAACACTGTGAACTGATATTGGTCGAACCAGTAGTCCGGAGCTGTTGTCATTAAATACCTTGATTATCGTTCTCCTTGGATTACTTATCACTTTTTAATTTCATCAAGAGACTGATGTCGTAAGTCAATAATTCAATTCATGGCCCCAAATATCCAATGGAAGAGTAACGAATGATTGATGAGAGACTTCACTGTTTCTCAAGATGTTCTGGTTAGAGTAAGAGACGTCCCTTAGTTATTGGCATAGTTAACTGCAAACAACTGTTAAATATCAACGATCACTGAAACCAAATCTGCCTATTTAGCAGTTTCGTCAATAAGAAATACGAATCTTTGTTTAGCTTGAAATTAGCTGGGAATAAGTTTATATATATATATAATGCCACACCTAGCTCTTTAAAAGTATATTTTGTATACGTATACCTTTACTCGTCTATTAATGTAAATGCTGATAACACTCTTCAGTAAATGCTAAAAATAATAACAGAATCTAAAATAATATTAACTCATTGATTGAATAAATGAGAAGCAAAAAAAGAAAACAATTTGCTAGGCAACGTAAATGAAAGGGAAAAGTTATTTCATAGTCACACAGTACTTCACACGTAGACTTTGTGGATAACCTTTGAATATGCTATAAGTGCGATTTGCATTATACAATGTTCCACCCTTTTTACAGCTTATTAGCTGATATCCTTTTTATAGATGTTGATTACGAGTAGTCTGACTGAATTTCCAACACAGAAGTGCAGTAGTTCAACTTGCCACGCTCCATGTAGCGCACACAGGTAGACAAAAGAGAGAGAAAATTAGATTAGGAATAATAAAAATAGGAAGAAATGTGACGGAGGAGGATAGGAACACGAGAAAACACGATGATTTAGTGGATATAGAGGATTACAGAGAGTGAATGCATCTGAGCAACTGACAACGATTTCGAGCCATATCACCTACTTTCTCCAACCACTGGTTGTTAGTAACCCGACAACCCCTACCAGACAGACTACATCTCCTTAAATGATTCAAATCAACAATCAAAATTGATGCACCGATGCCACCTTTTGGTTTGGCCGCCCCTTAAACCTTTTCCAACCCAATCCAATGTCGGTTAACATTGCTCGTCGACGACTAGACATGAGCAACACACGTCCTAGCCATCCCTCAACCCACGTAGCTTCACAACCCAGTCGACTGACTTACAGTTCACATCTAACACTACGCCTAAGCTCAATACTATTCACCCTACTATACCACCGAACACATATAAGAGATGGAACGTAGACAGAGATGATCAAAGACAACTAGTCTTTCTGTCTTCCACTTCCAATGACCATGTCTCACAGCCATAAGGGGGGACAGACAGAACTGCTGAGCAGTACCCAAATCCTTTGATCGACAGCCAGCCGGATATCACGTCTAAACCACAGATGGCGTAAAATGGCATGTGCCAAACGAGCCTTGTGTATCCGTATGCTGAGATTTCATCTGCAATCAACCCGCTGGGACTGACTGATGCAAATTCCCAAATAAGTGAAGTGGTCAACACGCTCTACCACTTCACTCCCTATCTTTAATCTAGGAGTCAGTGTGGTCCAGTCCTGTAACATCATGTTACATTTGACAGCAGCAGCGAATTGCATGCCACACATTCGCAGATTGCGACTCAAGGTGTTCAAAAGACTGCATTTTGTCAGCGTCTTCATCCAGATGGGAGAACTATATCATCTGCCTATTCTAAGTCAACGAGATTATTCCCTTATGATAAGTCAATCCCTGAGTCTCTGAAGTTACTTAGGGTTAAGTCCATTAGTACATCTGTGATGAAAGTAAACAGAAATGGGGACAGCAAGAATCCTTGATGGGCACTCTTTGTTGCCACCACTTCAGATGACAACTCTCCGTGGGCTTTCACCTGTCTGTATGAGTTCGAGTAGAGCGACTTGATCAGTGCAATGTATTTTCTCAGCATTAACTTCACAGCCAAACATCGCCATAGTACTTCTTAGTCGACGGAAACGAATTCCGCTTTCAGATCCAGAAATATGATAATTGTTGGACGTCGGTGGTAAGTATGCCTATGTTCCAGAAACTGTCGAAGGGTGAAGATATGATCAAAACACCCTCTTTCTGGTCTAAAGCCTTCCTGGTTCTCTAGTGTTTGTTTCTGTCGTGCACCACTTAGTCTACGCATGATTATTGATCCTAGAACTTTAGATATCATGACGATTAATGTCATAACGAAATTACAAAACTAGTAGAGCGCACTACAGTACTCTACTACCAGTCAGATCATACACAGTTCTATTCTTCTCCACCTTTTATGTAGGTATATGTTGAATTTGCGAGACTAGTAATGTATACACTCTGTTACATTCAATATATGTTAACAAAGTTTAGAGAATAAATAAACCTTAATGCATAGATACATAATAGTTACCTGTAGCAAATGTATTATATCCTTGATGGAAAGAGACTGCATTTACTGGGTAAATTGTCTCCTTATCTCCATCTTTAACTCGATGACACTTAAAGGCATATTTTTTCTTTTGAACTTCAGGACTAGGATCAAACATTTCCACTGCTATTCGACCTGTAGGATGAAAGTAAAAATTTAAGCGTATAATGTAACTAGCCATAATGACGCATATAAACACATAACATCTTAGTATGACAAGGATTTGTTTAGTTTTCCTTGATTGTAACTTAACAAAAGCCTAACAATTCACTGTCAAACTTTTACAAAGTTGATTCTGCAGGCAATGTCATTAGACGTATTTTGAATTTTTTTTACAAAAAAAATGGTTTTATCGGAGGTTGCCTAAAGATATTTTCTTTAATTCATGAATAAACTTATGCATGAAATTAATACGGAAGTAGTCATTAGTTCATGGAGTGAATGTAACTTCAGTACATACTGTAAACAGTAGAGCGGGATGGGAAAAGTTAGATACACACAAACACACACCTTACAACGACATGTTCCGTTTGTGCAAATGAATTGACGATGCATTTGAATTCCAAAAGTTGGTAAAGAGAACAGTTGCATATGAATTTCGTCATTTTCAGGCGATTTACTCATCTTACGACGTCATTAATACGTATCTATAATTAATTATATAACAGCCTAGGTGAAGGTAAATTAGGTTAGTATAATATTAGCAATACGCTGATGCTAAAAATAGTAGCCAGAAGTGTACAAGTTGGTTATTTATTAACAGTGGTAACAATAGTCAAACTAATTATATTGTCAGATAAAATATGTAGTACAGAATTTGTTTCTTACATCCAAGTGTTTTCTCTTATCATAATATGATCTTATCACAGAATCTACATATCTGTTTGTTTGTCTGTTTTCGACAGAATCTACATATAAGACATGGTAACCCATCTCTGTCAGTGGATATGACCACCACCTTATTTACAGGTTGAAAGTGATTGACGAAACACAATATTTTTGATAGTGAAGTTCACGAGCCGCAAATTGTTCTCTACCTCTGTAAAAGATAAACTCCCCCCGTCTGACCGCCTCCATGTGCATCTACCAGTTCACTCGCTCTTGTGGAGCAAGGTACATTGGCCGTAGTCAGAGAACGCTCTCCACACGGATACGAGAACATATTCCAGCTTGGTTTTACAAAAAAGAAAGGAAATGTGTGCGAAGCTCTGTTCTGGAACACCTGATCGACTTGTCACTTGACCAGCCCTGACCATGATTTCAAGATCATATATAGAATTTATGATAACTTCCCGCGTTTTCTTTGTTACAGACTTCCAAGGACAGCTGAGGCCTTGGCGATTCATGACTTTAAGCTAGACCTTTGTGTACAAAAGAAGTATGTACAATCCCTAATTCTGCCTTGGCTGTAGAGAGATAGACATTTATTTTGTTTTAGTTATTCTATGTACTTTTCCCTTATTACTTCGATTATTTTTATCATTATTATTATTATTATTACTACTACTATTCTCACTCTGAATCTTTTCCACTTCACCCACTTGACATTTTAAACCCAAAGTGGTTAATTTGTATATTTTTTGTTTTTACAATATTTAATTCTATCCTATGAAACTTCACACCATATTATGTAACATTTTATATTTGTCTACTGATCCTATAATTATGTACCTCTTTCCGAAATATATACACCCTATGTATTATTCTATATATGACATTAATTATTTTGCCACTTGACATTAAACTATGATTACAATCACAAATATTTCAATTGCATTTCATACTACTATTATTATTATTTTATGTATTCACACCTTTGACCGATTCCCTCACCGGATATGATTTCTTTATAAAACCATATATATATATATATATATATATATATATATATATATATATATATATATATATATATATATATAACGATTGTACAGCTTGATAATACATTCATTGAAAAGAGTTCTCTTCGCTGAATTATTATGTTCTTAATGCTATAGTGGGAATTAAATTAATTAAATCAATGACATGAGTACTCTTCTACCTGTTGCTAGTAGTACCTCAAACAACAGATTATCAAAGATGTTACAGGTATGTCTTAAATTAACAAAAGAGAAACTAAGACTACACCCAGTACATGATTCAATTAGTTTGGAAAGCAGAAAAAATGTCATTTTTTGGATATTATAAATACAGTGAGAGAAATAAAATTTCTCTGTGCGAAGTGATTTCTAGAAGAAGAGAATTGATTTCTTAACCTTAAAAATAGTTTACACTCTCTAGTTCATCCTTAGTGTGTGTGTGTGTGTGTGTGTGTGTGGTACATTGATTATACACGAAAGTACTGTTTTTTTCGAAACGTTGAATTTGAAATCAGGAATTAACCAGCGATCTGTTTAAATCCTTGGATTATCATATTTTTTTTATCAAGTGTACTGTTATAATAGCATAATTTTAACTATTTAGTTGTCCAAAAACGGTATTATGCACTCGCTCTATAGTTTTTAAACGATTTCAACCCATCACATTGCATTTGTTGAAGCGAAGGACAAAAAACAATGGTTGTAGTAGTAGTATTGCAGCAAATGGCATACTGTCAGTCATATTTATTTTGTAAGACTTTCGCAAAAGAAATGAATTTTTAAATAATACTTAGTGAGAATTTTACACTGTTCCCAGAGCAACCATATGGTACTTAAGGCATTTTGTAAGCATGAGTGTCAACACAATAGCCTAAAAGAAAAACCTGTCTTGGATTTATATGCATAGGAATTTATCACACGACCTACTTCACCGACAGTTTTTTTTATTATAGCTTTCGTTCAAGTATGGAATTTTTAGCATGTGATATCGGTAGCCTAAAGTTTGCAGACCGACCATAGATATCAAGTGTGCTTAGGCAGGGAGTCAAACCCCGGACCATGTGCATGGTCGGCGAGAGTCCTAACCGCTGTGCCACCGACGCACAACTCAGTTACCCAGGAGAGATAATTCAGGCACCAAGCTGGCTATAAGCCATATATATTGTGTTAGGACTGATGACACCAACCAGCCGCCGAGGCTGACCGGCGGCGGATATGAATCCTGGGCACCATTAAATGAAAGTCTATCTATGTTTAGGCCAATGAGTCAAATTTACAGAGAACGATTCAACTGAATTGAACACAATGTAAGTTAGTATTTTACGTGCCTAATATTTGAGCCTAATCGATATACGTAGGCTGACTATCTCTATTTGAGAAAGAGTAACAGGACAATACAACAAATGAGTCTTTTGTTAGCGTGCACACAGTCATTACAACTATTCGCTTTTTTAATATTTTATTTTTCGCAAAAAGAGAACTTTTAAGTAGGGAACAATCAAAAAAAACTAGAACAACAGTGTCCTACAGAAGTGGGTATTTCTTCATACTGAAAGATTGATTACTGATACTCAAACACAATTGTAATCAAAATTTATAACATCTTTTCGGTTGTAATTTTCTTAAAAAACACCTACGAAAGCCCTTATAGCCTCATAATCTTATTATGAAAATTAACGAAAAGAAACAAATAAAATTAAATTAAAAGTATGTTTTTTTAAACTATACCTTCAATTGAACCTAATATATATCCTTGACCATTCGGGAAACATTGAATGCATCGAGTTTGATATCTAAGACTTGATTCACGTTGTTCTACAGGTGCATGCATTTGACGCAGATCCCATATCAGAACATGTCGATTAGCTGTGCCAACAACTAGCTGATTTCGTATACTGTCCATTGTATACACTGTGCTAGGTTGACGATGATAACTTTGTGCTCCACCTTTTGAATCATGTGCATAAAATGCTGACGCCCGTGGATCCCAAATACGCACGGAACAATCCCAACTGCCAGTAATAACCGCTTGTATACATGTATTGTAGTGCATTGTACTAATTGCTCTCAAACATGAACCTAAAGTGTGACCTGAAATTATATAAAGAAAAATTTTATTTAGATATCTTATTTTAAACCAACGAAACTGGCTTTAGATTTTATAAATGTTATAATGCATGTGTCAGCAGAATAATGGTTGTATAAAATTACGCATACGTACGCACACCTTTAAAGGTAGCATAGAGAGGAAGCAGTTCAAATGACCTCATACTATGAAAAATGAAACCAATGCAGAAATGGACTTTACTAACGCACAAAGGTTTCTGGACGAAAAACTTATAGGACATTTTTGAATCAAACTAATATACGCTTCACAATTAACCCACTACGGATATAAGCAATTATCTAGGCATTATATATATATATATATATATATATATACCCTATAAAAGTGACAATCCCCTATGACAGTTTAGCCAAGGCCTTTTCAATAATGTCGAGGAAAGCTTGACACGTAGAATTCTTTTTAAAGGTCAAAATTAGTTTACGAGATTTAATTTATTTGCTGAGAAATAAAGAATCCAAAAACGCCATGTCAAGTTAAAACGGGTTAAATAACTGCAGTATATTAGTATGCATGCTAGATATAGCGTCTGGTAATAAAAACAGCACAAACTACTGATATCCGCCCCAAAATAAAAATTTAATCATAAGATACTCCCCCATATGAAAAAAACTCACTTTGATTAGTGTTGCAGTCAAACAGCTTTAATTCACCTTGCAGTGAACCGCTGAGGACATGCACAGAATCGGAAAAAGTTGTATCCAAAACAGGCGTACTGTGTTGATAAATATAACGCTGACTGCCTGACGCCACATCATATACTCGGACGGTGCAATCCCAGCTAGACGCAACTAGGAATTGTGGGGTTGCTTTACCGGGTTGAAAACGAACAGCAGTAATACCATCCGTTGGAAGAGAAGATAACTTGTACTGATCAACAGTCAAAGGTGGCATAGCTAACAGTGAAAACAAAAATGTAAACACATTATAGTACAATTATATATCCATACTAACCATCTCTACGTAAAAACGACAATCTCAGAATATGTCGGCTTTATCGCACTAAAACTGCTTCAGTTACAGCTAGCAAGAATGCTGATAATGCTAACTGACAATCACTTAATTCACTGGTAGTTTCCGTTCCAGTAAAATAATTAAAAGCACTTAACAGAAATACTCTAAAAGTTGTCAAACTGACAACTTTTTTTAGAACTAAGGCGTTAAATCTCATTGCTACCAATCATCCAAAGTGATACGAACGTAAATGAGAAACTGATACCCCACATGCTTCTAGTGACCTCAAGAACTCACAAGGCTGAACAATACACATTTGGCAAAATAAATATTTTAAACAAGATAGATACATTGGCAACAACAGGTACTTGTACGCAGAAAACGCAGAGTCATGCTGCTCTTCTTACGTGCAACATTTGTCGCATATTGCAGGCTACTCTGTGAAATATTCCATTATCTTACGGAATTTCCTGTATAAATATATTTCCCTAAGATAAAATGTAACCAAGAGAGTACGACCTTCCATGTGGTCCGAGGTTCGATCCCCGGCCGCTAACGCACTCCTTTACCTCACTAAGCCAGAAGTAATGCTGGTAAAGAGGAAAGGGTGGGCACGAGGCTAGCAACCCCACCCTGTAAAAGTAAATACTGCTAGAGAAACTTCAAGTCACTAGCCTGAAGCCCTATGATCCACTGGGGAACGTAAAGGAAAAAAGAGTGTACGATTCGATATACAAGCAGGCAGTATATCATAATATACTAAATCTAACCTAAATGTGTAAAAATGATATCACATCAAAACTATTTACTACTATTATTATTTTTCAATGAAAGTGCATCAACCAAATATGACAACAATAAAAAAATTAAATAACAAATAACATTTAAAGCAAAACAAAACATACAAACTTATATAATGAAAATCGATCAGGTAAACAATCGAGAGAGAGAAAGTATATGATAAATATTAGCAACACATTTATTATTATAAGTTCACCAAAAACATTTAGTGACTAGGATAACAACGATAACAACAACAAAAAAGAGAGATACAGCACTCAAAATACGTAAAATGAAAAAAGAGTATAACTAGTATTTAAGGAATTAAATCAAAAAAACAAACAAAACAAAAGCATTCAGAATAATAATATCACCAATATATATATATATAATACGTCTGTACAATTACAAAAATACAGAACAACAAAATATAGCCAGAGAATCTTGTAGGGATCAATCAATAAGAATGAATTTTATACTACTGGTCTACACAAAAACTTCAATCCATCTGAACACAACAGATAAATAAGATAAAGTATGCATTGAGAAGGTGTGTGTGTTTCAACTGCCCTTTATACAGCCGATAAGTGTGAAAGTGTTTCTCGTGTCATTAAGAGAAATTAAAATGACTAACACCTTTGAAAAGGTATAGTGTGTGTGTATATGTGTAATGTAATATTAGGCGAGTGTATACCAAAATAAATAAACACAAAACATGTAAATATAGCAATTATTACCGACAACCGATAATAAATAAGAACACATTGGTGAGAGAAAGAATAAGCGCGTAGAGACATATTCACCACTACAATTCTCCACAAGATATGTGACAGTCAACATCAAGGATTCGATTAGTAAAGATAACAGAATACAAATGTATTTAAAAAAAACAGCAACTGAGGTATTTGTTTCACAGAAAAAGAAAGAAAATACCACACAGAATCTTTTGCAGATAGTGAATTTATGAAGACAATGTCTGATCAAAATGATGATTGACAAAATCTTTGCTGTCTGGTATGATCAAGTCTTTATTAGTTTTAGCAGTATTGTCAAAAAGATAAGGATAATATCGAAACATATCAGTCCACTGCCAAGATGTTACTCTTCCTCCATTCGATATATTCGATGAACTAGACTGTAGGAATTGGTTAAGAAAGTGTTTTTTTCTATCACGTTTAGGTGAAATACAATGGGACCAAGGCACTTCGTGTCTATTCAGTCTGAGTAAAAACAAGGTGAAAATCTTTCCAACGACAAATACCATGAAGGATTGATGAAAGACTGCCCACATACGATAATTTGGACCTGGGAATGGATCACTGACAGCTGGACAAAGTATATTGTTCAGGTTTACTTCTGTCAACTAAAAAATATATATATTATTAATTAGCAAAATACATAAATTCGGTTTGTCAACACGTTAATATCTCAATAAACTTGTATCACACTATGCTTCCTGATGAAATCAAAGAAGTACGATGTACAAATACATCCCGTATAAAAACATAAAAGAATAGAACTTGTGCACTGTGGTATAGCACGATTCCACATCAAGTTGATATGATTGTGCTCAAAACGTCACCAGTAAAAATTACTGTATAACACTGTGAGGCTTTATTAAAATAAATTCTACCCACAATTTTTTTTCCTTCACGTTCCCAGTTGAACATAAGGCTTCAAGCTAGTGGCCACTAGAAGTTTCTGTAGCAGTGTTTAATTTTACAGGATGGGGTTGCTACCTTCATACCCAACCTTTCCTCTTTACCAGTCTCATTACTGGTTTAGCGAGGTAAAGGAGTGCGTTAGCGGCTGGGGATCGAAACCCGGACCATGTGCATGGTCGGCGAGCGTCTTAACCGCTGTGCCACTGACGCACTTTTACCCACAATGGCAGCATATAAAAATAATTAAAGCACATAATCTGCTCTTTAACTAGTTTTCTTTGAACATTGTGGAATATATACATACACATACAGTGTATGCACTTTTATCAATCAATCTCAGCTTTCCTAATGAATTCATTTGATGGCCTTAAAAACAAGAGGATGAAGTATTGAGATCGTATGAAGATAATCCGATTTCCTAAATAACAATGAGAATGGAATTTTTCTTTGATCAATGTAGGATATGTAACCTTAAATCGACTTTCATTAACTCTTACAGACAGAGATAGAAAAACTTGGTCTTCTAAAAATAGCATACACTGGTAAAATATCAATTTACTTATTGAAAAACTGTCGATCTTACCAAAGCAATAGGTTGTAGAATCAAAAAGTGATAGAGAATTTGTGCACTCAGGGCAAATAACATCCAGGAAAGATCATTTATTGACTCGACTGAAAATTCACCTGTTGTTAATAAGATAAATCAGACAAATGTCAAATAAAGAATTTTAAGAGAGAATATCTACAACAAAGTTTTTGGTTCATAACTTCCCAAAGCTCCTTATTTTTTCCAAAATGTCACTTAGCAGTAAAATTTCCAAATAAATATTATTAAACGGTTTCATTGGTATTACCTGGATATTACGAGATTATTTAACATAATCTTAGCGTGTCTAGAACGTTTTGCTGTGTAAGTCACAGACTTTTCAGCAGAATTACTCCGACCTTATTACTGAAACATATGTTCAGTGTTGAATAAAAATCCATCATAAACTGCATAAACTAGTTCGGTTAATTGTGAGTGATATAATGCGAAAATTTATATTTTTCAGCTATCATGTATCAACAGTGGTTTGTGCAGAATAATATGGTACCATCATTTATTTCGTTGGCTTCTCATCAGCTACTTACAGCCTAAATAAATTATGAGGTTTAAGTACAGAAAAGTTTTAACATACTTGCAAATTTTACATGTTGTCAGTTGACAGAAAGTTTCACAATTAGTAAACAGTGCTCAAAAAATTGCGCTTATATAGGTTTTACACATGCAGTTCACATTTAAACAAAATAAATGTATGCATGTAATGGTAAAGGAGTTACGTAATAAAGATGAGATGTGCGTTAGATGCATAGTGACTAATAAGTTACGTAACAATGTACTGAGCTGAATTCAAATCATAGGAACAAGAGACAAGCAAAATTACAGATTATAAAACGAGGGTGAGGCTGAAGACACAGATCACGTAATCAGATGAGAGAATAAAAATATTCAGTTACCAGGGCAAGGAAAGACTAATAACTGCTTCTTTCTGAACACATAAATCTGGTTTCAAGCGTTTGATAGAAATTGCTTCGGCAAACTTGAGGAGAATGGAGCTTCTTTGTCTACTGATAATTGTGAAGGATTTCTTGATCTCCACATCATGACCCATGTCGAGGAGATGTCTGGTAATAGCGCTACTATAAGAGTTTGTTCTCTTGAGACGTAGGCTTTTCGGCACATGACAACATGTAAAATTTGCAAGTATGTTAAAACTTTTCTGTACTCAAACCTCATAATTTATTTAGGCTGTAAGTAGCTGATGAGAAGCCAACGAAATAAATAATGGTACCATATTATTCTGCAAAAACCACTGTTGTTCTTGCTTTATTCATATTCATCAAGGGGAATAAATGCATGAAATATCAACTATCAAATTCTAAATCGCTTAAGTTGAAAGAGGTAACTTAACTACTGCTGTCCCTATAATATAACTTACATGTTAAAATACATATTCTGTCTACCTGTTTTCAACATAGAACTTTGCACAAATGTGCAGCAGTTCAAGTCCCTACACTTCACTCAGCACACAAAACAAGAGAAGAAAGTAGAAGAAATGCAAAGAGACAGTAAAAAGAGATATGAGGCAAAAGGAATAGTAATTAAGTCACAAGAAGTGCATGCATCTGCAGCAGGCCAGCCACTGAGAACGATTTTGAGTTATATCACCAATTGTCTCCAGCCTTCATTGGTTTTTACCGTCCTGAGGACCCCAACCAGGAAGTCTACACCTTACTACGTGACTGGCTTTAACTAACTGTTGTGGATCTCATTGACTAATGCCATGTTTTCGTTTGACAATCACTGACTCTTTTCTAATCTGACCCTATGTCAGCTAACATTGCCTGTCGAGGAAGGCGATGGCTAAGCATGCGTAACACATGACCTAACCATCTCAGTCGATGTAGCTTCACAGCTTCATCGATTGATTTCCCACCCCCTTACCAAGCACTCAACGCCTAATCTCAGTACTGTTTGCCGTATTATCCCACTTCACACGGGAGATAAAATGCTGGCAACTATGATCAAAGACAGCTAGCCTTTTCATGTCTTCCACTCAGTGGCCACACATTAAGCCACGAGGAGGTTAGATATAAAACCGACTGAAAAGGTAAAGTTAATGAATCCGAAAGGCTACCACTCCAGCGAAACTATGAATTAATAATGAAAACATATTTAATCCCGAAAAGATAGAAGTAAAGTTTGGACTTTCTGTGACCAAGGTGAATCCGATTTTTTATAAAATAAAAACTGTCTGTCTGCCTGGATTCAACATAGAACTTGGCACACAAGTGCAGCAGTTCCAGTTGCCACGTTACAAATAGCACACAAAGGTAGACAAGAAGATGAGTGAAGAGAATCAATAGAGTTTGACAGGTATAAGAGCGAAACAGAATGGGTAATTGTAGAAAGAAATATGAAAGATTACAGAGACTGAATACATCTGCGCTGGCCATTGACAACGATTTTGAGCCATGTCACCTATTGTCTCCAGCCATTGATTCCTAGAGTCCCGAGGGCCCCAACCCGGAAGTCTGCATCTCCCTACCTGACTCAGTTTAACTGTCAAGGATTTCATGGATTGATGCCATGTTTTTGTTTGGCCACCACTGGCTCTTTTCCAACCTGAACCTATATCAGCTAGCAATGCCCGTCGGGGGAGGCGGTGGTTAGGCATGCGCAGCACGTGACCTAGCCATCTCAATCTATGTAACTTTATAGCCTCGTCGATTGATTTTCCCTCTTTGCCCAACACTCTACGCCTAACGTCAACATAACTTACCTTATTGTACCACCTAACGTGAGACAGAGATCGCAGACATCTATGATCGAAAGCAGTCAACCTTTTCATGTCTTCAACGTCGTATTGGCCATGTTTCAGAGCCATAGAGAAGGACGGAGCGAACTGATGAGCAGTACACACGTCCCTTGGTTGATAACCGGATGTCACGCCTACGCCAGAGATGGTGTAAGTCAGCGAAAGCAGCTCGAGCTTTTCGGATCCGTGCTGAGATTTCATCGCCAATCAGTCCGTTGGTGCTAATACAACTTCCCAAATAGGTGAAGTGGTCAACATGTTCTATCACTTCACTCCCTATCACTAAGTTAGGAGTTGACGTAGTCCAGTCCTGTAGCAGCATCTTACATTTTGTAGGGGCGAATCGCATGCCAAACATACGAAGATTGCTGCTCAAGGTGTTCAGAAGACTCTGCATTTTGTCAGCATCCTCCCCTAACAGGACTATGTCATCTGCATATTCTAAGTCCATAAGACTATTCCCTGGTAACAAGTCGATTCCTAAGTCGTTACGTTCAGTTAAGGATACTTCCATTAGCATATCTATGATGAAGTTAAACAGAAATGGGGAAAGTGGACATCCCTGTCGGACACCACTGGTTGTTACCAATTCAGATGACAATTCCCCATAAGCCCTTACACGACTACGTGAGTTTGAATAGAGTGCCTTGATTAGTGCAATGTACTTTCTTGGCACTCCCTTCACAGTCAGACATTGCCATAGTACCTTTCGATCCACGGAGTCGAAGGCCGCCTTCAAGTCAAGAAATATGGCAATTGTTGGACGCCGAAAAGTGTGTCTATGTTCTAGAATCTGTCGAAGAGTGAAGATATGATCTATGCACCCTCTACCTGGTCTAAAGCCTGCTTGATTTTCCCTCGTTTGTTCCTCCCGAGTTCTGCTTAGTCTGTGCATGATTAGGCTGATCCCCCTATGATTATCACACGAGGACTTGTTTCCCTTCTTGAATATCGGTATAATAAGTGACTTACCCCAGTCTGATGGAACTGTCTCTGATTCCCAGACTTTGCCTAGTACCTCAGTTAATCTACAAACTAGTATGTCACCCCCATATTTAAACACCTCCGGAATAATTCCGTCGGGTCCTGCCGCTTTGCCTCGTTTCAAATTACTGATAGCTTTGTGACCTTACAGACGGCGGACCAGTGTCTATATCCCATTCGGGTGTGTGTGGATGGCGGGGAGGTTCAGTGTGGCTGTAGGCAAGTTAAATTTTTCCTCAAAGTGTTCTTTCCAGCGTTCAAGGCGTCTATCCTGAGAGCTAATTAAGGAGCCATTTTTCTCAGAAATAGTCTCACTTATGATTTGCCTTCTCCCACCCGTTTCCCTGATGAGTCTAAAGAGTTGCCTAGTGTTGCCTATCGCCAATGCTTTTTCCATCTCTTTCGCCTTTGTCACCCACCACTGTTCACGGTCCTTGCGGAGACTTTTCGTAAGTTTCCTTTTGTGCAGCTTTCGCTCCTCATTGAATTCGGAGCTCGCCGGAATAAGTCTTCTAGCATCTATCAGTTCGGATGAGGCAGTCGAAATCCAGTGGTTTTTACTCACCTTTGGATTTACCTTATTCACAGCTTTTACAGCTGTATCTATGGCTGACTGAATATTCTTCCAGGCTTCTTCAGGGTGAGCACAGCTGTCGAACTCAGATGTGTTTAGCTAGTTCTTCCTCAAATAGGGATTTAGTTTCCTGATCGAGCTGGCGATGTGATGGTTTTACCGCCAGCTGTTTCCTACGTCCGTTCAGTCGTAAGCACACACGAGCGCGGACCAGTGCATGATCGGTATCTACACACGTGTTCCAGAAGGAGCGACAATCTCCTACCGACCCACGCCAACGATAGCTTATTGCTATGTGGTCTATTTGTGTCCAGCGTTGGTTTGATGATGGGGGTCGCCAGGTTAAACAGTGTCTCTCCTTGTGTTTAAAGTTAGTGCTTACAAGAAACAAATGATTATCTGAACAGAACTGTAGGAGACGGTCACCGTTGTCGGTTCGCTGGCACGGAACTCCATAGGTGCCACCGACATCCTTCTCAGATTGACACAATTTCCCTACTTGAGCGTTAAAGTCACCAGCTAGAACGACTATATCTGAGCGTTTAGCCTCTCGCACCAAACTAGACAGCTTTTGGTAGAACTCATCCTTCGTTTCATCCGAACTGCAGTCAGTGGGGGTGTAGGCGGAGATTACGAAAAGGCATCGGCGAGTAGTGCAGTCCTTTCTCCTTTTTACTGATCCGTTCAGACGGACAGCACACATTCGGCTATCTACCGGGATCCAGTCAAGTAATGTCTTTTCTGCCCTAGTACTCAAAGCTATCCCTACACCAGCTAATCCTCGTGAACTAGCTGTGGCATCTCCTGACACCCTCAAGGTGAATTTTGCAGATTCACGCTGTTGGCCAGGTGGGGTTAGGTGAATAACCACACTTGGGCCTTGTAAGCGTGTTTCTGAAACACAACACACATCAATGGCTCGGGGTGCCAGAGTCTTGGCTAGTGATGCTTGTTGTCCTATTTGGCGAAGTGTCCTAACATTAAATGCTCCTATATGAAACTGGTGATTCATTCTAGACAGAAAAAAGAGACAGGACAAACAGTGGCTCACTACGGACACTTGGAAACTAATAGAAGAGAGAAGGACAGTGAAGCTAAAGATTATCCAGTGCACTGACGAGCAACAAAAACAGGAGCTGAATGCAAGCTACAATACACTGAACAAAAGAGTGAAGAAGAGTGCCAGGGAAGACAAAAGAAAATATTATGAAACCATGGCAAACGAAGCAGAACAAGCTGCAGGCAAAGGAGACCTCGCCACACTCTACCAAACAACTAGGCACCTTTCGGGAAAAAGTTCGACACAGATTAAGCCAATAAAGGACGACAATGGAAAGTCAATCACCAAAGAGGTGGAACAGAGAAAGCACTGGGCTGAACACTTCAAAAGACTTCTAAATCGTCCGCCACCTACAACACGCCCAGCAATACCAACAACGGAAGCAGAACTACCAGTGAACACTGACCCCCCGATGAAATCAGAAGTCCTGAATGCAATCAAGATGCTTAAAGCTGGGAAAACACCGGGACCAGATGGAATCCCAGCAGAAGCTTTGAAAATAGACCCAGAGACAACAGCGGACTTGATGACACCACTGCTGGAGAAGGTGTGGAAAGATGGCAAAGTACCCGAGGATTGGAAGAACGGATACTTATTCAAACTTCCAAAGAAAGGAGACTTAAGTCAATGTAAAAACTGGCGTGGAATTATGCTTCTGTCCATTCTAAGCAAGATACTAAGTCGCATCATCCTGGAGAGAATCAAACAAGCCCTAGATGAAAAACTTCGTCCGGAACAGGCCGGATTCAGGAGAAACAAATCATGTATTGATCAAATCGCCACTCTACGGATCATCATTGAACAAAGCTTGGAATGGCAGTCACCTCTCTATCTCAACTTCATCGACTTTGAAAAGGCCTTCGACAGCGTCGATCGAGAGGTGATTTGGAAACTACTTCGCTACTACGGGGTCCCATCGACAATTATACATCTCATCCAACAGTTATACGACAATGCTGCATGCCAAGTAATCCACAACGGGAAACTTACGGAGGCCTTCGAAGTGAGGACGGGAGTGAGGCAAGGCTGTCTACTATCACCAATGATCTTCCTGATTGCAATTGATTGGATAATGCGACAGACAACGGCAACCAACGAGGGAACAGGCATAAAATGGACTGACACGAAAGACTTGGAGGATCTGGATTTCGCCGATGATATATGTCTGATTTCCCATAAACTGGAAGATATGCAAGTGAAAAGTAACAAGTTGGCAGAAGAAGCATCAAAGATAGGACTTCACGTGAACATAGATAAAACAGAGATGATGAAGATTCCTAGCCAACAGCAACAACAATAACAGACAACAATCAGCATAAGTAGGAAAAACCTGAAAGAAACAACCTCCTTCACCTACCTGGGAAGCATCGTTTCAACTAAAGGCGGACCTGACGAGGACATCAAAGCCAGAATCGGAAAAGCAAGACAAGCTTTCATTACTCTCAAATCTGTGTGGAGGTCAACAGCACTCAGCATCAAAAATAAGATCCGGATTTTCAACTCCAATGTGAAGTCAGTGCTACTATACGGATCAGAGACTTGGCGAGTCATAAAGAGCATCTCAAACAAACTTCAAACCTTCATTAACAGTTGTCACAGCTCAATACTCAAGATCAGATGGCCGGCCAGAGAATATCAGCAACAGGGATCTCTGGGACCGAACCAACCAGGAACCGATTGTGAAACAAATAGGCAGAAAGAAATGGAGATGGATTGGCCATACGCTGAGGAAACCATCAAGTGACATCACTAGACAAGCCATTGCTCGAGTGGAACCCGAAAGGGAAGCGGCGAGTTGGTCGTCAATGTGAGGCTGACTTGGGGGAGGTCATGCGAGGAGGAGATGAAAGCATGTGGACAGACCTGGAGCAGGGTGAAAAAGTTGTCAGGAAACCGAAGACAATGGAGGTGCGCAGCTGAAGCCCTATGTTCCTCTAGGAACTAAAGGATACAATAATAATAATAATAATATGAAACTGGTGGCGTGGCTTTAGGAGACTATAGGTAGTGGCTGTTTGGCTTCAGTCGTTTTTAGTGGACACGGAGTGAAGAGGAAGTGAAAAGCCATCAAGTACAGGAGTTGCATCAGTGGAATGAAGTCAAGATAATAGAGATGAAGATGAAGACAAAGATGAGTGAGGATTAGAGAGGTTTCATGTGCATTTCGGATTGTGAGGGCGATTGTTACTTCCCGGCTGCCCAAACCCGTGGAAGGCGTTTTTTCTATTTTATTATTTTATATATATAAAATAAAAACGCCTTCATATAACTTAAAGTCAAAATACATTCACACTACTAACAAATTGAGTAATATTCAGCTGATTTTACTCTGTAGTAACGAATGTTGGTTGTTACTGCAAAAGCATCGTTAGTTTTTTTTACTACTATAAGTTCAAGTCTGAAGCATCTACTTCTGTGGATTCGTTAGAAGCACATCTAAAAATAACAGTGAAGCAATCAGAGGAAAAGATCAGGCAGGCACGATTTCATCTAAACTATGTATATAATAAACAATACATATGTAATCACAGGTACTATCGTGTGACTTGTTGCCTAAAAAATTCGAATTTAAACTGAGTGACCAGGTGTTAAAAATCTGTTACAATAAATTCGACAATATAAAACTGAATAGTAATATAAACCCTCGTACACTGGGTGGTGTTTACAGTTAAGTGAATAAGAATGCGGCAGGCTTCTGAATTATATTCATGAGAGGTTTAACGCAATCACACCTCTTAACAATTAGACGAACAAGTAGACAGAAAAGTACAGCAAATGTTAAATAGAGTCTGTAAATCTTAAAAATCACGATGCAAGAGGCAATCAATAAATTTAACAAAACCACAGTAAAGATATAGGTGACAGACTCATAGGTACTGACATGAAGTTGATGAAAACTTTATTTACTGACGAATTATAACTTGTTTGTTGTGGTCTGCCTGGACTTCCAAAAAGGCTAAATGAAACAATACACCTAATGGCCTATTTCGAATGAATGAAATGCAAGATAAGCAAGGAGAATTCCAAAATTACATGAAACTCAGTATATTCTTATGAATGAGACCATGAAGCACAGCTGTTGTACAGAAACCAGCAATCGAAAATACTATCACCCTATTACACACTTCTCATGCAAGTAATGATTCTAAGTATTTTCAAAACAAAACATATAACTGGAAGTTAGAGCATGACAAGGATTAGTTGTAAATATAAAAGTGGGGCACAAATGCGGAACCACATCCTTTTACTGCAACCCTAGAAATATAAGCCGGTGATGTTAATATGCTTAAATAAGACTTAAACAAACCTAATCATACCATGACTAAAAGCAACAATATTACTTGTTTGACCACATAAATCATTTAGCATTTAGCTATGACGAACAACAGAACAAACACTCTCGACTTCGGAATAAGCTATTTAGAAACAACAAGTTGTAAGCGAAATTAGACCAGATATCGATGGTCATTTATTCACATCCAAGTTTCTGTACAGTAATACTATATATATACATATATATATATATATATATATATGCAGACAGAGTGAAAGAGTGTCCAGTCTGACATATGATCTTGTTACATCAGAATGTGAGTTCAAAAACTAGGAAGAAGTCATTCTAACAAATTAGTTGAGGAACCATATTAGGAAAATTGAACTTACTATTTTGGTTTAGAAAGCACGCAGGAATCAAGATTATCAAAAAATGTTGTATAAAGTAGATCACACGTTCAAACGGTAGCTGTTACAATTAGAAAGAGTCAACATGAAACTCTTGTTAGAAAAACGACTTTGAATCCGGCACATGCTATTTAATAAAAGATATAGCTATATATACGATATTAGTAAGTTCGGATGAAGGTATTATTAGGTTACACACTGTTAAAATGCAAAACTACTTGGCAGAGCTATCGATACTATAACTTAGAAACTTACTTCTTTAAAGCCTGTCGTGAAATAAAGAATTTTACATTAGTATACTAGGAATTTTTATTAACAAGTGAAAACACATGAACCGCAACAAAAGCAGTTCATTGGCTTAGGCACCAATAGTCGGACAATAATTCTCGGGATCGAATCCTGCCCCGACGATTTTGTTATGGATAACTGGGTAATGTCACCATCCCTTATACAATAGGTGTGGCTCAAAGCAAGGCATATGAGATGTTTAACGTAATAACGTTATAACTTACCATAATTTTTACCGCCAATAAAACCTATTAGGCATATTTGTAGAATTTCCTAACTAAATAAAAGCTGTGTACAACTTGAGTATCAATGGAACGTGATATGTGCAGCGCATTCCCGTCTTCTTTCTCCCAATGAGGAGTCTGCTGCATAATCGATTCCACTACAGTTAGGAATATTGTTCGCGATAATAGACAGCCTTGTCTTACAATTATTAGTATTATTGTTCCCTTGGGTTCCTAGTGGAACATAGGGCTTCAACTGCACGTCTCCACTTGCTTCTGTCTTCCTTCTGCTGTACTTTTCACCTGCATCCATGTTAGTCCATACTGTTTCAACTTCTCTTCATCACAGGATTTCCTCCATGTCACCCTTGCGTTGACATCCCACTCGCCGCGTGCATCTCTTTCGGGTTCCAATCGAGCAATGGCCTGACGAGCGCGCAATGTCACCCAGCGGCCTCCTGCTCAGCGAGTGTACTATGCATCTCCACTTCCTCCCGCATATTTGTTGGTTGGCAATTGGTTCTTGTTTTGTTTGTTTGTTCCCATAGTTTCTTGTTGGCGATTCTTTCCGGCCCGGCCATCTGATCTTGAGTATAGAGCGAAGATAGTTGTTGATAAAGGTCTGCAATAGCCTGTTGGAAATATTCTTTGTGACCCACCAAGTTTCTGGCGGGTGTAATAGAAGGGTTGAATTTACGAAATTTCAGCTTACATAGTTATATAATTAGTTAGTTACCCACTACCCGATTGGGAGCCACGCTTATTTTATGGGGTCTACGCAATTGTTGTGGCTAAAGTAACATGAAGACTTTCAGGAGAAAGGCCAAGTTTCTGATCCGTATAGAAGAACTGACTGACTTGAGGTTTGTATTGAAAATCCGACCAAATTTCGTTGTTGATGCTGAGTGATGACGATTTCCAGATTGGTTTCAGGCTGATGAATATGTCTCTCGCCTTCCCGATTCTCGCTCGATTTGAAATCCTCGTCCGTTCCTCTGGCCTTTAGTTGAGACAATATTCCCTAGATAAGTGAATGAAGTAAGGTCTTTCAAATCCCTCCCGTTGATGGTGATTGGCGCTTGATTTTGCTGCTGTTGTTATTGTTGTTGTTGGTGGTGTTTGATTATTTTCATTACCTCCGTCTTGTCTATGTTCACTTGGAGTCCTGTCTTCACTGGCTGCTTCTTCGACTAGTTTGTCGGTTTTCGTTTGTGCGTTTGTGGCACAGTGGTTAGGACTCTCGCCGACCATGCACATGGTCCGGGGTTCGAGCCAAGGCCGACGCACACCTGATATCTATGGTTGGCCTGCAAAATTTGGGCTACCGATATCCATGCTGAAAATTCCATACTTGTACCAAAAATACGGTGTGGAATCAAGCTGTAATCAAAAATAAAAAAATAAAAATGTAGTAGTCAAGTTTTTCTAAACAAATTCAAGCCTAATTGGGATACTTAACACGTCAGGTGTATTGACATAGTCCATTAATTACACCTGGAAAGACTCTTGTTTGTTGGGTATTATGACAGAAATATGAATAACATTTTAGGCACCAGCAAATGCAAGTAACACACAAAACATGAAGCGAGTGAATTTGAAAACGGCTGTGTATACACTAAGTCAATTTTGGGATGAAGATATAATCTTGGTTCTTAAAATGAGATGAGGCGCCACTTGTTGTTTCCAGTATCACATGAGCATTCAGGCTTAGTTATTAACATATTATTATTCTCTTATTTGACCCCCAAACACTACTTATACAGCTAGCATCAAGTACTTGCGTCAACAGAACAATATCAAAAACCAGACTTGAAAACCCAAAATCTAAAAATGTGGATGAGTATGAGTAGTTTAAATGACTCACAAATCGAGTATTTAGAATTGGGAAAGTTAAAGCCAATAAGGGACCATTCATCAGATGTATATGTATTCGGAAAAGCGTGGTTGTAAGAGTGGACGACGATGAGGCCAAAAATAATATCTAAAGAAAGGGGAGCAATAGTAAAATAATACAATATTACTCTGATTGTCTAAAAGTCAAGTGACTAAATTATTACACTCAGCTGGTCAGAAAACCCACTATTTTCATAAACCACTGCATGGGATTAAGACCTTAGATACAGCAAAGAAATTTAATATCATGGTTTTAAGAAATACGCATCCACATCTTATTTTGGCTGTCAAACAATAAATGCCAGTAGCAATTTACGATGTTACTCTTTTTTTTCAAGTATTGGTTTTTGTAGGGATTTTGTTTGATTGCATGGAGGATTTACTCATTTTACCAAATTTCTCGCCTCCCTGGTTCTAGAATAAACTCTATTTCCAGTGAGAATAAAGTTAATGTATATCAAGTCGACCCCACCTGCCTATACATATACACATGAACATTAAATCATAAATACTTATCACGACAGAGATATAAATCCGTCCTGAACACACCACCGTTACCATCTACCACAAAACAATGTAAGTCTAAAGCAAGGTATACTTAGTTCCTAGTCTTACCTGCAGCATAGTTATAATATGGCATGGGTTGAGAATCCAAATAAGTGTTCTGGTAGCCAACTTAAAGCCCATTTCCACTCCAAATGCAAAAGAGTGTATGACAAGAATTATTTGTCTTAACTTCAAAGGTTCTTTACACTGCCGCGGAATCCCAACATTCAGTCTTGTACGAGACCAATAGGCAGTGAAGGAGAATACAATGCAAATGAACACAGATTCAAGAAACTTCCTTTGGGATGAAATATATTCAACACATCTCGGACCACCAGCTCCCTCAATACTTGTATTGACACCCACATATGTCCAATAAAACATTCTCCCTGAGATTGTTATGATGATATCTTCCAATATTAGCCAGCTCTATGAGGTATATTTCAGTAGTGAGCACTTGTCATCTCACCAAAGCGAGAATGGATTCTCGCCCATAGACAACAATGCCTCATCGAAATTCCATTCGAAAACCCTCTCGCGCTCAACGTAGGTAAATCAAGGATGAAAGAAACAAAAGTCAAAAACAAGTTAAACAAGCCTTAATAGAATTTCGGAAATTTCAGTTCGAATATTTATCGCCTGAGATGGTCGGTAACTCTAAACTATAGTGGCCCAAAAAGAAACTACTTGATGAACAGTTCAATGACCTTGAGCAATCAGCCAGACGTGTTGATATTATATAGATGCTGTAAATGAACTACGTGGAAAACTTCATCAAGATCTAGTATTTAAGTATTGCTTAGACAACTGGCTCATTGGAAAGGAGAAACCATATAGCTAACTGTCATCCCTGGGCCATATTCATCACATGGTCAATAATACAGACGATTTCACTAATCCTATCGATAGGAGCCATATAAATTCCACCGGAAGTTTCTAAAGTCGCCTAAGAAAGAGGATCAGAGAGGTGACTGAGTTAACAAACACGACGATTTGCAGTTATCTCGATGAATATATTACAGAAATTGGCTTAAGCTAACTAAGAGGACTCCTATTAGAAATTCGGAGGTTTTCTTGGAACATGCTTAAGGACGTTATCTCAAGGACCCACTTTTTAAAATTTATAAAGACACTTTTCTAAGCCACCCACTTCTACTACGAACGCATATGACTGGCCGATGGAGATTTTCCCAGAGTTTATTAGGTAGTTTCGGTTTGCACTATTCTAGTTTAGAGTCACCCTTCACTATGCTAAGGTTATTCTTACTGTGTATCACTAAACCACAGGATTCATTTTGATCCGTCTGTAGGCCTAGTGCCATTTCGACTTGATAGTGCAGAAAAACGATCTCCATGCTTTGATACGGATTTCCGTTATCACAGTGTTGGACATCAGCGTTTAAAATTTCTAGCAGTCACACATTAATAAATAAGGTCATATCATGTATACTTATCTCCACAGCAGCTGATAGAATACAGGTGACATCCCAGTGGTAGCTGGGGTAATAAGGAGATTGTCCGTAGTTGGTTGGGAAAAGGCAGAGTTATATAATTTTACCGAACAATCCTCGAAATTGAGAAGTCCTCAGAACTTCTCAAGTGTTATCGAAAACCCATCCTACCTCAAATGGTTGTTGAAAAACCTCTTCATCACAGTACGGAAGGCTGAGATAAAAACTGCATCAGGAAACCCCCCTTAATTTAAAGGACGCCACAGTTTTATGAAGATAACGAGTCAATCAACGTTACAGACAATCCCAGCCTGCCAGTGGGGGATACATTCTAAAGGGACCTCTCTCACAAACTTTAGTTACCAATTCTTTGAGTTCTGAGTGGGAAATATGGCTTTAGTTGCACCTCTTCATTGCCCTCTGTATTCCGCAGTGAATTTATTTTCTTGGAAACATCTGTGACGGCAGAGTTGTTTCGGAGTGCGATTGGGTTACCTGACCCACTCGAAAGTTCGCCTATTTTTCATGCGTAGAACGGGTTAGTAAATCGGACGTTGGTTGTCTGTGGCCTACAGTCTGAAAGCGGAGAGGCTATCGAGACCTTCTGAAGAGGGTATGTTCATCTGAATATGAGCACTACGTAAACACATGTAGTGAGTCTTCCTCGTCGCTGACATCGGGATAACTGTGGTAGACACAGGCATTCGGAGCAGTAAGAATGCTTTGCAGTTGTTTGTTGTCGACAAAGTTTCTTTTAATGGAAGCACCGACTCAAGTTTAGGCATATTTCTGGTTTAAGACGATGGCTGCATTCTCTTCAGCAATTTCAACTATTCATACACGAGTCCACAAAATGTATGCATACAACTAGTGATTTGCCGTGAATAATCAACAGTGCGATCCATCACATCTAGATGCGTCAAACCGTGACCTGAGAAGCTCTTGATTTGCTAAAATTGCCTAAAGGTGAGTTAAACTATATACTCAACCTTGGGTATATTTGGTCATCAGAGAGCCTATGCGCCTCGTTGTTGTACATGGTACCAATGATGGAAATCAGTAACTAGTGACACAGGTGACTTCTGAACTCCAGAAATGTCTGAGGTCGCTATCCACCACCTTTCTCCACTAATTAAAAACAAAGTCATTTGGCACGAATATTTCACGAGATTTGATTTGGTCAAAGCATGCGATCAAATACTACAGGTGATGCAGGACATTCTGAAAACGGCAGTAATTATCTCCATAAGATTTCTTGAATTACTCGTTGTGAACATCAGTCTCCACAGATATAGCATCAAATATAAAATATAAGTAAAAATGCAATGCAGTCAAGAAGCATAAAATGTTACACAATTCCGGACGAAGACGAAGCCGCAAACCCAACAGGCAGACGAAACGACAGACGTCAACAACAAGCTCAAAGGTTCCAGATAAACCCCAGGAAAACATCCTACTAATCATCCATCTTCTCAAAAGGGGAGGTGATATGTATCCACATATATATATATATGTGTGTGTGTGTATGTTGGTCTCTCTTTCTCTTTGACCTCTTAGTCTGTGACCATTTCACTTGTATGAACTTGTCTCCTTTAACAATGTATATTCTCCTTATATTATATTATATATAATATGAGTGTTTGTTGACAGTCCGTTGCTTGGTGACATATATCCATATATGGTGGTTGTTGACATGTCTGCTATATTTCGCTATGTATATATGGATCGATACTTCATTATAATTAGCCATTCATGTTTAGACTGTCTAATGATTTGTTCACACACTTTGTCTGGAACATTCATATATATTTCGCATTCACAATTTGTGTGACTTACTTACTTTGGTGTGATACCACTTATTGCTTCTCCTTGTGTTTGGAAAATAGAAGTATCATCGCAAACCTAGTGGTCTTCTGATTTCCGCCTTCTCGCGTCAGGACTATTAGTTTCTCGACCAGTCCATAACAATAATTTGTCGACGAGTACATAACAATTTGGCGACGGGGAAAACTACTATTAACCACTCAGCAGCAGCAACATAACAATTTACTATGGATCCTTCTAAATTGGAATTATTGTTTGAACGACAAATGAAATTAATGGAAATGTTCGTCAACCAACAGACTGGTCCAGCTTCACCTTCAAGCAATCCCAATCATACCATGCTACCATCTGTCGACGGAATTGTGAACAGTATTTTACAGTTCAATTATGACCCAGAGGCTAATGTCACTTTTGACACATGGTATCAACGTTATGAAGATTTATTCACTGTTGATCTCGCCTCACAAGACGATGCTTGGAAGGTGCGACTGTTGTTACATAAATTGGGTCCCGCAGAATATGAACGGTACTGCAACCTAATTTTACCCCAGAAACCACGTGACAAGTGTTTCAATGATACAATAAAGCTGCTGCGTGAACATTTTGGAGACCACTCCTCATTATTCAGCATACGTTATCGTTGCCTCAAGCTGACAATGAATGAAAATGATGATTTTCTTACTCACCTTGGCACAGTCAACCGAGAATGTGAGAGATTTCGACTCAGGTCCTTAACAGATGATCAATTCAAAGCCTTGATTCTCATATGCAGTCTTCAATCTCCTCGTTTCACAGATATCCGAACTCGACTGCTCAATCAGCTAGAACAAAATCCTAAGTTAACATTGCATGACATAGCTGATGAATATCAACGGCTGATTAATCTGCAGAAAGACACACACCTGGTCGAATCAACACCTTCCAGAAGCTCTGATATTCATGCATTACGAAAGAGCAAAAATCTCTCATCATCCAGTCCTGACCCACCTTCTCTTAATGTCCCGCGGAAATCTACACATACTCGTCCAACTTCACAAAATACTGCAAAGAAGACCCCACCATCACCATGCTGGCATTGTGGCGCGTGGCACTTTGTAAAGTCTTGTCCGTACAAAAATCATCGTTGCAGCAAGTGCAAAATCATCGGTCATATAAATGGTTTTTGTCAGCCACGCAAACCCAGATATCATAATCCAGCAAAAGCTCGACAAACTGTTGGTCCTAAATCCTCCAAAAAGTCAATGAGTCTAGTCGCAACCTGTCAAGCCACAACACCAGGTATGCGGAAATATCTTGATCTTCAGATAAACGGTCATGATGCACGTCTGCGGCTAGATACCGCCACTGATATTACTGTTATATCAGAGAAAACTTCGAATAATATTGGCAGACCACCTATCACCAATACTTCCTAGTCTCTTGTCAGCGCCTGTGGTGGACAGCTCAAACTAAGGGGTGAACTCAAATGTTCCGTTTCCTTCCGCAATACCGAATTCACAGGAATTCGCTACGTCACCAAGAGTGATTTAAATCTTTTGGGACTTGATTGGTTCGATCGTTTGCATCTGGTTGATGTCCCACTAAATTCGCTATGCAATGCAGTCAAGAAGCATAAAATGTTACACAATTCCGGACGAAGACGAAGCCGCAAACCCAGCAGGCAGACGAAACGACAGACGTCAACAACAAGCTCAAAGGTTCCAGATAAACCCCCAGGAAAACATCCTACTAATCATCCATCTTCTCAAAAGGGGAGGTGATATGTATCCACATATATATATATATGTGTGTGTGTGTATGTTGGTCTCTCTTTCTCTTT